CGATAAGAAAATGAGGCAGAAAAGCAAGGTGAAAACAGGAAGGGTTTCTGGAGCCTTCCAGCAAAAACAAATTAAAATAAATCATTAGGCACCCAGTGGGATTATAATGTAATGAGATAAATATTCCTGGGTGGCTTATGGAACCATCTTATTTCAAAATCACACCATGCTCTTAAATGTGCTCACATTTGTCTCTTGCTGATCCCCATAGCAACAAATTTCCCATTAAGCAAAACTGAAAATATGGACATCCCAAGCAATATGAGCTTCTCAAGGGCAAAAATAGTGTCATTTGTATATCCAATCCTTAATGCAGTGTATGGCATATAGGGAACAAATACATTAATTGAAAATAGAAATGTAATTATACTTAAATTTTAATATCCACATGTTCTCTTGTCTGTTTTTCTGAATTTTAACTAATTTATTCCACATGGTTAATTTATCTTACTTTGAAACTATTTATTAAGGATAAGCATAATTTTAATTAGTTTTCCTGAAAATATAAATAAAACTTGCCCAATAATTACTAAAATCTATTCTTTCTCTTAACACTGAGTGTTGTAGCAGAAAGGCTTTGGCTTTGGGTTCCTATTTCTGGGTTTGAGTTTCTGATCCACCACTTATTATGTCACCCTTGACAAGTTACTTAAAGCTTCTGAGCCTTTAAATAAGTTCAGAATACTTTATAATTATCAGGGTATTAATATTATCATACTATTAATTGTTAGAGTTAAATGAAATCATGGGTGTGGTGAGATGATATATAAACATCAACTCCTCTTTCTCTTTCCTTCTGAATTTTGGTGGTATTGACAGATAGGCAAGAACTGGCCTTGTAGTATTAATATTCAGGACAGGAATCAGCTTATATTTAGTTGGAATGTATTATGTCTCTACTTCTTTGAGGATGTGTGAGAAATATGTTCTCTTCTTATCTCCATTGATCAAAAATTGTTGCTATTTTTCTTTCTTTTTAGAATTCAGATTCCTATTGTTAAAAAACAAAACTCAACTGAGTAAATTTTAAAAATCTTATTGGTATTATTCAATAATTCATAATCAGGTAGCATTCCCCTGTAGCAAACAGAAATGAGCTCCAAGGAACTGAACAAAATGAAAAGACTTATTAGGTAGCAGGGAGCAGGAATAAGGAAGTTATACCAGACAGCTCAATCGGATGGGTTGCGACAAGGCCACTTTCCTTGAGGGACGGGAGGGTCTACCAGGCAACTTAGCTAACTAATGCCAGTTAGTGATTCCTATTGACTGGCGTAAGATTCTATTTCTGGAAAACCTGGAATGGTAATGAAATCTCGGTTTAGTGAGGTGGGACCTATGAGTGACTCCATTTGGAGCCTGTTGTCTTGTTTTTAAAACTGTTTATTTGCTGGGAGTGTGTAGTGGGAAGCAGTGTCTGGGGGTTTTGGTCTGCTTTCGGTTTTGTGTTTGTCTTTGCTGCATACTGTGCAGTTCGTGGGGCCTCAGCTCCGCATTGTTCAGTCGCCAAGTCCTGTCTGACTCTGCAACCCCAGGGACTGCCGCACGCCAGGCCGCCCTGTCCCTCACCATTTCCCAGAGTTTGTCCAAGTTCATGAACTGGTGATGCCTTCTGACCATCTCACCCTCTGCCGTCCCCCTCTCCTTGTGCTGTCAGTCATTCCCAGCGTCAGGGTCCTTTCCAACGAGTCCGCTGTTTGTGTCGGGTGGACATAGTATTGGAGCTCCCTGACCGGAGATGAAACCCATGTTCCCTGCTGTGGAAGCATGTAGTCTTAACCACTGGACTGCCAGGGAAGTCTCAGCAGTGTTTTGGGCTTATATACCTGAAGAAGTATATTTAAATAGTTTTCTAGAAGTAAAATCAAAAAGGTTTAAAACCTAAATGTCATTATTGTTTTTCCTTGTTATTACCAGTTAATCCTTCAATGCCCAACTCAAGTATATCATTTTCCACCAAGAAGCCTACACTACCTCAGTCAGAATTTTTGTTTCCTGAAGGCCTTGCATTGCTGTCTAGTTTCCAGCCATATGTGGTGAAATATTATTATTTAATCAATACATATATGTCAGAGGCCAACAATGAGTCAAGTTGGGAATATAGATAAATAAAACAGAAGAGACAAAAGTGTAACTATTATATAATATTATGTTTACAATAGATAACATTTATCTTAGTTCTACTTTTACAATTTAAATGGCTTATCTTTAATATACATTTACAGAGGTCTGTGGAAAACTTTTTACAATTTTCCTATTACATTTTGCAATGAAACAAATCCCACAACTAAATTTCAAATGTTTTAAACATGCCAATTAGAATTTAACATTCTCATGACTGATTTTTTTTCTGAATCAGATTTATTGCAGTCTAACAATTGCACAGAATTGAGATCAAAATTTCAAGAATAGTCTTACAACTTAATCTTAACAAGGCTGAGACTAAAATACTCAAAAATACGTCAGGTGATCATCAACCTCATGTTGTTGTTTTCAGATGCCATTAATTATTCTGTTAGTCATTCTCTCTATTCATATAGAGTGAGTTTTTTCAATTCAAATTTGAAACCAGTATTATTTTGCATGTGTTGCATTACAGCACAATCTTTGATTTGTTCTAACAGACTCTGGGAAACATTTAAAATTCTATAAATTACTTAGAAGTCAACCACTTCCCTATTCTAACCTGGATTTCAATATAATACAGTTTTAAAGGCAAATATAGTAGATTAACATACACTGTATTGTTCATTCAAAAGTAGGTCCTCTTGGGTATAATCATTTACTTATATTTGTGCTTTTTATAAACACAAAATACATCTCTTGCATGTTCATCCTCCCTAAACTGATAATGAACATAGGGAAACCATCACTAGATATTGATAATGAAGAATTCATTAATTCCTCGGTTATGCCTGCCTGGTGTGTTTAATTTAAAATGCTTAACTATGTAAATACTATACTATCTTCATTCAGCGTGTACTTTTTAAGATCCATTTTTACACTATGCTGTCTTAACTCATTACACTCAAGGTCTGTTTCTGCTATAATAGCCGAAAGTAAGTGACCACTAGATCTTCCTTTAGTGTGAGTTACCAGTTAACTGAGAACTGTTTTCAATTTCTTTAATAATTAAAAAAATGGTGATGTCAGTATTAAGTTATAAAATTAAGATAAAGAGATAAAGAGACCCAGGGATATTATGATCAAAACTGAAGTTAACATTAAGGGATACAGCTGACGGGGTTTCAACATTTTCTCTGGAATTTGTTCTCACGATAAAAGAAATATGTTCTCGTAGCATCATCATAGACAAAGTCCAGTGAAAATGTTTTGTAATCAGCCATCTTACAATGGAATAGATGTTGATCTGATTTATGAATTTATGGATTACTTAAACATATACTTCAACATTTTTTCATCAGGTTTTAAATGAAATTTATGTATTGCAGTCATTCTAGAATATTAGAAGATATTAATAATTGACTTCCTCAGAAAGAAGATTTGTGTTCAAATCCACCATATTTGCATCAATGTATCAAACTAGGGCTTCCCTGGTGGCTCAGATGTTAAAGAATCTTCCTGGAATGCAGGAGACCTGGGTTCGATCCCCAGATCGAAAAGATCCTCTGGAGAAGGGAATGGCTATCCACTTCAGTATTCTTGCCTAGGCAAGAACAAAAATATACAGATTATAGTCTTTTTTCTTCACAAATTTAAGGATGAATAATAATTGAAATACTTTTTAAAAAAATGTATTTTTGGCTGTGCTGGATTTCTTTGCTGCTCACAGGCTTTCTCTAGTCGCAGAGAGTCGGGGCTGGTCTCTGGGTGTTGTGCTTGTGGTTCAGTAACTGACATGCAGGCTCAGTTCCTTGCGGCGCGTGGAATCTTCCCGGGCCAGGGTCGAACCTGTGTCCGCTACATTAGCAGGCAGATTCTTAACCACAGGATTACCACAGAAGTCCCTGAAGAGTCCCTTTTGATGCCTATTTCTTGGCAAGAAAAAGTCCTTTAAAAAAGTTGTATGTGGGTATGTTCATGTTACCACAAAAGCAGTTTACTTTTCAATACACTTGCAAAGATATCTGCTGCTGCTGCTGCTAAGTCACTTCAGTCATGTCTGACTCTGTGCAACCCCACAGACGGCAGCCCATCAGGCTCCAGGCAAGAGCACTGGGTTGCCATTTCCCTCTCCAATGCATGAAGGTGAAAAGTGAAAGTGACGTCGCTTAGTCGTGTCTGACTCTTCGCGACCCCATGGATTGCAGCCTACCAGGCTCCTCCATCCGTGGGATTTTCCAGGCAAGAGTACTGGAGTGGGTTGCCATCTGGGCACTTAAATTCACTTTTTCCCAAATGGTAAAAGACTTTTTATTTTATCTAAATATATAATGTGTTTATGATCACAATTTTGATTATTATTGGCAAAATAATACCAGGAATTTTCATTAGCAAAGTAATAAATGTACCTGTGTGTGAACAGCTTTAACACACAGGCAGCATCCTCTGTAGAGTTTGTGAAATTCCTACAGTGGTTGCTGCCCTGTTATAATAGGCTGAGAAAGAAGACAAGCGTCTGCGTTGTGCAGTGTAGTTATAGAAATATTTAACAAGTAGAAGCAAAGCATGGCCTCGGGGCTTCTTCACTTGCCTTTCAAAGTGATATTGATACAGAATCTTATTGGTTTTATCATCTACTCTGGGTGTCCCTGGTGCTCAGATGGTGAAGAACCTGCCTGCAATGCAGGAGACCCAGGTTCGGACTCTGGGTTGGGAAGATCCCCTGGAGAAGGGAATTGCTACCCGCTCCGGTATTGTTGCCTGGAGAATTTCATGGACAGAGGAGCCTCACAGGCCACAGTCCATGGAGTCACGAAGAGTCAGGCATGACTGAGTGACTGGCACTTTCACTTTCATGGGTAATTAAACCTTTCTCTTCCAGCAGAAACTGGAAAAGAAATGGTCTAAACCAGAATGCTTAATTGTCTCTCTATCCCAGGAAAGATCTGAGCCAGAAACTTAGAGAAATAAGGAAATTCTGCTCCAGCCTCCTGTTTCTCATCAGTATGGTAAGTGACACATTCCATTTTCAGCGATGAATTGTGAAGGTTAGACTACTGAGGAGAGCGAGGCAGGTCTGACCCAGGCCTCAGTCCCGTGCCTCCTGATAGGCCTTCCACTCGTTTGCTTTCATCGTTTAGATTGAATGGCTGAACATCAGTCATGCCCGCATTCAAATGTAAATATGAAAGCATATTCCAGAGTGAAATATAAAATGGATTTTGGTCCTTTTGGCGAGTTAAATTATCTGCTCGATTGCTTCCATCCATTAGTGGGGATAATAGAGAACTGACTGAACATCTTTTCTATACAGGAACAATTGAATTAGGCTTTCTATCTACAAAAGTGACTATCACAATTACTGAATGTGTTTAATGCCACTATAAATCTTTCCTGAAAGTAGAGAAAGAAGAAATAATAACTCTTTGAGATATTCAGTGGCTGGGAAAAGGGAAATTAAATACCACAATTACTCAAAATTATAAGAAAAAAGCAACTCGTGGGCTGTTCAAACTCTGGGAACCACAGTATCGCTTTATTAAGTAAACACAGGTGGGAGTTTCCTTCATAATAGTCTAGACACCACACCAGACCTTAGCTCCTAAATATTTATGGAAAATTTTCTAAGAAAGCAAGATGGATATGGTTTAGACAAACAGTTCCTTACACAGACTCTTTTCTAGAAGACACTCACAGCATATTCTCAAAAGGCCGTCTTTTTAGTGGGAGCCATAGGGAGCACCTATAGACCAGTAAAGGCGTAGTGATCCCATGCTTCTAGGGGCGTTGTGGTTTGTATGATGAAAGACCACGCTGTATCAACACACACAGTTGTACTTGGAGACCATCCTTCTGCCAAAAGAAAAGTTGTCTAAAATTGAAAATTAATTATAGTTTCAGTTTAGCGTTCTCTGTCTCTCCTTGTCTGTGTCTTGCTTTCTCACAACAATCTAAGACTGTACTTAGTATCTGTGTTAAAAATACTGCAAATATAAAGACATGGAGAAGACTTAAGTATTTCTCCCACATCTCTAGATTAATATTTAAAACATAGTAAACTATGTAGTAAATTAAAGATGTCATGGAAAAAGTCTCCAAGAGCTTGACTTCTGCAGTGTTATAGCAGGAGGTTTTTATAGATGACTGACCCCACACCTAGTTTTGGTCACTCAGGGCTCATGGAGAACAATCAGTTTAGCTGTTTGGTGTCACACAACTAGATGATAGAAGATCCTGGCCTGGAAAAATGTCTGGACCCATCAATAAAATTTATTTCAAGGAGGATATAAAACACTGGGAAAATGAATGTCTTCAGCTAAACCTACTTACTCCATTCTCTTGTTTAATGTGTTTTTTAGCATTGCATTTTGTTGCTGTCTTGAGTCTCTTTATTTATGCATATATAAATTTGCTGTATCTGTCTTGACTTTCTATTATCTTTTTAGTTTGTTGAACTCATGTGTGACAAGGAGCATTCTATTTGCGAACACAAGAAAACTGCAAATATCTGGTATAGGATGCTGTAAGTAAAAGCGCCCTGGAATGTGATGTTCCAAAGATCAGGGTTGCCTTTTGTTCATATTTATATCCTAGCCACTAGCCATATCGGTTATTTAAATGCATATTTAAATTAATTAAAATTGAATAGGTAGGATTCACTTTCTCCATTTGCACTAGCTGCATTGCAAGTGCCCAACAGCTTGAAATAATTCAATTGCTCAAGTGTAACTACTGGTTGCTACCAAATATGGAATATCACCAGCATCATAGAAGTTCTTTTAGTGCTGGAGGGCTTCCCTGGTAGCTCAGCTGATAAAGAATCTACCTGCAATACAGGAGACCCAGGTTCAATTGCTTGGTAGGGAAGATCCCCTGGAGAAGGGAATGGTGGACCACTCCAGTATTCTTGCCTAGACAATTCCATGGACAGACCACGGGTCACAAAGAGTCAGACATGACTGAGCAACTAACACTTACTAACTTAGTGCTGATATCGATGAGTACTACAAAGACAAACAGCATATTAGGGAGAGATTGGATGGGGGTACATATAGAGAGAGATGGTTGATAAATAGGTTAAGTGGATGGGTAAGTAGGGAGGGAGGAAGGGAAGGAGGGTAAAAGAATGAAAGATGATTACCATCTTTCTAAATTACATATAAAAGAAAGATAACTAGCTGATATTCTGAAATATTTTAGATGGGTTCTGCAGCTGGGTAATTCTGTAAGACGTTTGCTCATCACCACCTTTCTGAGGCTTATAAAATGTATCTGATCTACAGGATACAGAGTGGAGAAGCCGTGACTTATTACAGGCACCCTGTCACCTCAATTAATACAGCATGCCCACCTTGAGGTAGGTGCTTTGAAGCAGAGTAAGAAATAGCAGCTTTCAAATTCTTTAAGCACAAAGAAGACAAAAGCTGCAGTAATGATAATTTAGGACAGGAGCCTCTGGCATTCATATTATGGCATAGGGATGCAAAAACGATAAAAATGTCTGTGTACCTGTGGTTTAAGTCCATATTTATAACTTTTCCTTGAAGATTATATACTGCATTCTCATTATTCCCATCATTTTCTTCTTGTTTTAAAATCATGTTATTGTATTATTCATAGAATTAATTTTAATATCTTACAAGCCATTTAGCAGAGCCAATATACATCTGCTAAGTATCACATATTACCAATGAGGATTATGATCCTTGTCTAACGACTACACGCAAGAACTTTTTTCCTGAGAAACATATAAAATGAAAAAAAAGTTTTTAATGAACTTATTAGGTTACATAATCCTTTCCCAGAGTTGAATAGTTCTCCAAAGAATAGTCTCAGTGTTTCTTTCTCAGCCCAGTTGGAAATGTCCCATGTAATGGAATGACTGTCTTGCTCTCTTGGGAAGTGACAGTATGTAGAACTCTGAATCGGAAACATCACAGATTTCTGTGCAAAGTGAGGTTTTCCCATCCTATAATAAGAAAGAACATAAACTTCCTATCAGTGATAACACAGAAAAAGCTTCTATTAAATATTCTCATAAATCTACCTTGACTTTTTGCTTCTGTCTGAACAATTTTAATTGTTAAACATTCTGAATAATTTTCATTCAGAATGTCGGCTTCCCCGGTGGCTCAGACAGTGAAGAATCTGTCTGCAATGCAGGAAACCCAGGTTTGATCCCTGGGTCGGGACTGTCCCCTAGGGAAGGATATGGCAAACCACTCCAGTATTCTTGCCTGGAAAATCCCATGAACAGAGGAGCCTGCTGGGCTACAGTCCATGGGGTTGCACAGAGTCAGACATGATGGAGCAACTAACAATTCAGAATGATAAATCACTCTGATGGGAAAGCACCTTACCTTTTCTTCAAGAATGATAAAACTCACATGAAAATACAGCCAATTTCAGATAAAAGTTTCCATTTAGATATATCAGTATACTGAAATATTTTAAAAACTCAATGATATGAACCATGAGGCAAATTATACCAGTATTAGTGGAGTACCATCTGGACATAGCATCCATTTCTCTTCACAGCAAAGGATGCTCTCAATCCAAGGAAAGATTCCAATGGATCTGTCTGTAAGTAGGAAAATTTTATTTTAGTTTTCCTTCCACATGTTCTTTTCTGTATGGGTTATATGTAAAAAAGTTTTTTTAATACAATTATTAAATTAAAAAGTGTAATATTTTACTATGCTACTATATGCTAGTTACAGAGATGTAGGAATGAATAAGAAAGTTAGTTTATGATTTAATGGAGCTTAGAATTTAGTTGTGACAAACATCCAACACATTCTTACATGAATGTTTATTTTTTCAAAATTATAACAATGCTATCATATACATGTATACATGTTTATATATATTTAGTGAAAGGCAATCATTGATTGCAAGGAGAATATATGATAGGTGGACCTTATCAGGCTGGGAGGTCAGAGGGGGCCTCCCTTTCAAATAGCATTTCAGCTGGGTAAGTATTTCCATGTGAAAAACTAAGGAAGAACCTTACAAGAAGAGGGAACAGCTTGTGGAGAAGAGTCTAGAATGTTCTGGAAACAAAATGTATGTGCCTAGGATGAAAAAGAAAGCCCTGGACTTTGTGGCTGGAGAGAGAAGCAGAGTCTGGCAAAGAGATTACTGCAGAGGAGGAGAAGCTGGAGGGGGAGGAGGGCCTGAGAGTGGTGCTGTGGGGCGGGGAGCTTCCGGGAGGTTCAGGGAGATGAGGACTCCAGGGTGCCCCGAGGAAGAGGGCAAGTGACCTCAGCGAATGCCGGCTCGGTGTAGAGCGCATGACTCTGGTGAGGCGTCATGAGATAGGCTAGGAGTAGATGGGCGCTGAAGCTGAGACGGAAGCTAATTAATGCTTTCAGAATAGTTGGCCTTGAAAGGTGGAGAGAAAACTATGCTTGCAGGCAGTCTCTTTGTTCTTATTTTTAAGAATGGCAAACACTAAATTAGATTTCAGTGCTGATGGGAAAAGGTCCAATAGATAGGGAAAAGATAGATTTAGGAAAAAATGAAAAAGAGAATAATTCCTAGCATAAGAAAATTACAGATAGAATTACATTTTAGATAATTATATTTCTTTCAAATATGATACACATATATCTGGAAAAATATTCTACTCTGTGCTTTGTTATGGAAATTATCTTTGTAGTTATCTCTTTTCTAATTCTAATAAATTTATTTAATTTTAATATTTAATCATTTGGCATTAAATTGTTTGCTATGCATTATCCTGAAACTATTCACAATGCTTGTTACTAATAGTTGCTTATATTAACTTAGCATTCCCTTATTACTAACAAATTCCTAGGTCATATCATTGCTCATGTAACTAATGAAATTTTGGTTTAATTGGCCATTCTCAACAGTATGTATCTATTCTTAGGTGGAACTAAGAATCTTGGGACTTAAAGAACTTATATTATGCAGTGGAGTGAATCTCTTGATCCTTTGAATGGAGAGAGGAAAATACAGAATAATGGAGAGGGATTTGGGAAGATGGCAGCTCAATTCAGCCACCACTTGCAGTTGCTGGGACCAGCTGAGAAGAGGGCTGGTAGCAGAGAGCAAATAAAACCAAGGGCTCCCTCTGGGCCTCTGGGTGCAGGGTTAGAGCAGACTCTTCTCTGGGAGCTAAAAGAAATCCAAAGGAACAGTGTTCAAGACCTCTGGGTGGCCATCCTAGTGAGAGAGTAGCAAAGAGCTTTTCTGACCCATAAAAGCAAAAATGGTGTTTGATCATTTGACTGTCTAATCATTGACTCAGGAAGGTCATGATGATCTATCAAAAATATGAAATAGTCACAAGACCTGAATAGAGTCTCAGAATTCTCTCTTACCTTACTATCAGAGGATGTGAGCCTTTGAATCTGGAATATTAAAGCCTCCCCACCATCAAATGGACTTCCCCCATAGCTCAGATGGTCATGAATCTGCCTGCAATATAGGAGACCTGTGTTTGATCTCTGAGTTGGGAAGATCCCCTGGAGAAGGGAATGGCTACCCACTCTAATATTCTTGTCTGGAAAATCCCATGGACAGAGGAGCCTGGCGGCTACAGTTTGTGAGATTGCAAAGAGTCAGACATGATTGAGTGACTGACACTACAGCTACCATTGAATGAATTGTTATATATCAGAATCAATATCTAGAATGTATAATTTTAGAATATTTTATTGACAATGGAAGGAGGAGGAGGGGGTAGGGCAGGGGACAGAGGAGGAAAAAAACTTAACCTTTATGAACAATATTATAAACTTTATTGAAATATATTAAAGAAGAACCAAACATAGGGAAAGGTAAAAATAGGAAATATTTTGGGTAGGAAATCTCTGCAGAATATTTTGGAAGTAAGCATTGATGTTATATAGATCCTGTGACCCTGCAGTTCTATTCCCACATGCACAGGCCAAAGGAACTCTGATATGTAAATATACAAAGAGACATCATCATCATTATTGTCGTCACAATTGATGTTTACTGAGTATTTATGTACGTGCATACATGCATGCTCAGTCATCTCCGACTCTTTGCAACCCCATAGACTGTAGTCCACCAGGCTCTTCTGTCCGTGGAATTCTGTCCAGTAGGATTACTGGAGTCAGTTGCCATTTCCTTCTCCAATTTAAGTACAGGTACAACCATAAGCATATTATATATAGTAGCTCCTTTATCACATTGCACCATTTGAAAATGCTGATATTTGACTATTTTTGACCTAGAAAAATCACAGTTACATATGTATCAGGCTAATACTCTTCTTAATATTTCTATGAAGTAGGCATTATTATCTCCATTTTAAAATGGGAAGCTGAGGCCCAGAGAGACTAAACAACTTGGCCAAGTTTGCTCAGCTACGGAATGGATCGCCATACATCAAATTCACGAAATCTGACACTGGGATCTGTGCCCAAACCTGTGGTGCGGTGCCCCCTCTCAACCTGGGAAGAATGTTCACAGCAACACACCTCAGGATAGCAAAAGGCTGGAAATGATATTAAAGTCCCTTAACAAGGGAACAGATAAATAACTAGATGTGTGTTCATAGAACACAGAGTACCCAAAATGAATAAACTAGAGTTCCTCATCTCCATGTTAAATGGAAAAAAGAGCGTTTCCATGAAGGTTGAAACATTTAAGATAGTGTTATATATTGTTGAGGGACAAAGAGGTATATGACACACAGATTCTTTCCCATGAATGAGAAGCCCCAGGTTAGGATAGTGGTTAATACAAGTGTAGAGGATGCCACTGGGGGAAGGATGAAGAAGAAATATCCATTGTATTGGTAATATTTTAGTTTAAGTGAGGTGGTTGGGTACATGAATGCTTGTGGTCTCATTCTTAAGGCAACTCTGCAGGCAGAGAGAGAGAGAAATACCCACAAAAAGATATTCTCAGAGAATGTTATGAGGAATGAAAAACTTGGTAAGGGGGGGGCAGTAAAAATAAAAGGACAACATTAAACATTTCAAAGATGTACACAGGGAGTACGATATGATCTCATTTATGTAAAATTCATCTGTATTTACTTGTATGTTCACAGAAGGATATGAAGTAGAGAGGCCAAGATCTTAACAGAGATTGTGCCAGTGTGATAACATTTCAAAGTGACTTTTACATAGTTTTCTTACAGTTTTGTACAATTTTCAAGTATTTTGCACTTACTTATATGCAGTCAGAAAAAGTTAGAGCATTGTAGACAAAGAGAGGATTGAGAAAGCTAGATGGGAAGGTGGACTCAACCTTTCAGTAAGGCAGATAAATGCTGGCTTCTCTCTCATTTAGGCTTCCCTGGTAGTTCAGATGGTAATGAATCTGCCTGCAAGCTGGGAGACCCAGGTTCAATCCCTGGGTTGGGGAGACCTCTAGAGAAGGGAATGGCAACCCACGCCAGTATTCTTTCCTAGAGAATTCCACAGACTGAGGGGCCTGGCCGGCTGCAGTCCATGGGATCACAAAGAGTTGGAAACAACTGAATGACTAACACTTATACTAAACTTATCTCTCTCATTTAGAAGTGATAGACAGTATTTCCCACCAGGATCACTCATCTGGTTCAAATTCCATGTCTTATGGGACAGCATCTAATTAATTAGCTAACAATCTCCCTAGGTGTGTTTGGGCTAGGGATCTGTCTTCTTCTAGGATGTGCTTATGTCTTTGACAGGCATGGGAGCTTTTTATTTTCCTTTTTTATAACTTCTGTTTTTAATTAGGGATAATTTACAATCTTGTGATGGTTTATGCCATACATCAGCATGAATCGGCCGTAAGTGTACATATGTCCCTTCCCTCTTGACCCTCCCTTCTACCTCCGTCCCCATTCCAACCCTCTAGGTCATCACAAAGTACTGGCTTTGCATTCCCTGAGAACCAAAAGGGAGTAGTAGCATTGAAACGTGTGCACCACCATATGTAAAACAGATAGCCAGTGAGAATTTGCTATATGAGGCAGGGAACCCAAAGCTTTTTTTTGTTTTTTTAAACTGGAATGGTTGGGGGGTGGGGAAGGGAGAAGCAGCTTAGGAGTCCAGGAGGAAGGGGGAATTTTAAATTCGGAGTTACAAATACATAGATTTTTGGAGGGATAAATAACATGGGTGATGAATTATAGGAGGAGAGCTCCGGGTGAGGGATTTGAAGTTCTAAATGGGGATAGAATGAGGTTCTGTCCTTCCCTAATGGGAAAGGGGTCTGTTCTGTACATGCCTCTTGAACTGCCTTAGATTGCCCTAGAGGAGACCAGAACCTGGGCAGTCTCTTTTTCATGAAGAATTGAGAAGCGCACAGAAACAGAACTATCTCGTTGCCCAGATGGTAAGGTAAGAGATGTGTTAGAGAGGAAGCCTTTCTCTCTACCTCTACCTGGAAGCCGATGATTCTTTGTCACCACAGAGACAAGGCTTCACCAGCATGTGGAGTCAGCATCTTGCAGGGTCAGTGCACTTCTCAAGAAGGGCAGATGAGAGGTGAATTCCTCTTCCCCAGATGAATTCCCAAGGAGCCAGAGCAAAGTGGCCAGTAAAGTGGAAGGGAGGTTTGGTCTCCTGCTGACAGACCAGGTTGTGAGCAATGGCTTTGAGAACTTTTAA